TGCAATCTAGCATTGCGTCTGTGGGATTTTTGCAGGGCCAACAAAATTTTCCTGGTGGCGACTCACATACCTGGAGAGTTGAATCTGGACAAATATATACAAGGGGGACCAGCAATTCAAAGCAGTACAATAATAATGATGAAAAATTGCTGTGAGTTCACAAATCACAATGAATAGACAATAATAACTAGTACAGAACTGATGCTTGATGATGTTTATAATTTCTATGTTTTCAGAACACAGGACGTCAAATACGGAAGGTGAGCGATACGAACATCTCGAGTGGTTGTTCGTTTCGAGACAACTCTTTTTCAACCAAATTCAGTTCTCTGGTTGTCTTATTGTGTTTAGCTGTGATATCAATCTTATCCAACATCCGTAAAGCACATAGGCTAACAAGTTTTAACAGCACAAGGGCTAACAAATTCTAAATTCGGAGGCAGACCATCTCAGCCGCTCCGGTCTCAGCCTTCACAAGTGGGGAATAAAACAACACTACCTGCTCCCAATTTTCCAACTGTGGGGCACTCCCCAAGTCGACGTCTTCGCCACAGCCCACAACAGGAAATGTCTCTTTTGCAGCCGAGGAGGGTACGACGCCCAATCGTTAGGAGACGGCCTCCTGTACCCGTGGTCAGAGAAACACCTATACATGTTCCCACCCCTACCACTGCTCCTCAGGGTGGTGCGCAAGATCCTCAGGGACAATGCACACGTAATATTGATAACGCCCTGGTGGCCCAGGCAGCCCTGGTTTCCCACCCTTCTCGACCTGTCTCGGAAAACTTTTTACCACTTCCCTCCTGTTCAAGACTTACTACACCTCCACAACTCCCCACTACTCCACCACGACGTGACAACACTGAAGCTCACGGCGTGGCGAATACTTCCAGAGGATTCTCTGCTCGCATAGCGCATGTCCTCTTGAATTCGAGGAAACAGTCCACGCGCAAGTCTTACACCCAGAAATGGGCTAAATTCTGCTCCTTTCTCGGGGCTGATGCCTCCCTGGCAACCACTACGGGTCTGGAAAGAGTTTTTTCATTTGTTTTATCCCTTGCTGACTCGGGGCTCTCCCACTCCTCGTTACATGTTTATCTGGCTGCCTTGTCAGCCTTTCATGTTCCAGTTGATGGTTATTCCTTGTTCACCCATCCAGTTACCAAACGCTTTCTGAAGGGTTTGCTTCGCCTTTATCCCCCAGTTAAGTCTCCACCTGTGCCTTGGGACCTTCCCCTGGTCCTGCATCAACTAACACGGAAGCCATTTGAACCGCTGGCCACATGCGAGCTACGTCTCCTGACATGGAAGACAGCATTTTTGGTTGCAATCACGTCGGCCAGGCGAGTTGGAGAGCTCTTGGCCTTCAGGCACGATGCTCCTTACCTTTCCATACTCCCTGATGGAATCCGCTTGGTGCCGGACATTTTGTTCTTGCCTAAGGTAATCTCTGAATTCCATCTGCAAACCGAAGTCTTCTTGCCGACTTTCTTTCCAAATCCAATATCTGATGAGGATAGACTACTGCATACATTGGATGTCAAGAGGGCCCTCTTGTTTTACCTAAAAAGGACACATCCAGCTAGGAAAGATCCTCATCTATTCCTCTCGTATGCACCCTCACGCCTGGGGACTCGTGTAACTTCCCAGCATCTATCCAAGTGGATTGTGGAGTTGGTTCGACTTTGCTACCTTCTGGCAAAACATCCTTTACCGGGCCCTGTCAGAGCTCACTCCACCAGAGCTCTTGCAACATCTACAGCCTTTCTCAAGGGTGTGCCGATACAGGACATCTGCAAAGCTGCTACATGGGCCACGCCTAATACATTCATCCGGCATTACGCCCTCGACGTCCGGCGCACCAATGACAGCATCGGCCGTCACGTTTTATCTTCAGCCCAGCGATGAACATCCTGCCAGCACCCTCCTCCAGGTAGGATATGGCTCGCTTGGCGGGATGTCCGCGCCGGTCCCTCTGGGCATGCGCAGTGGGGTTCCTGCGCATGCCTAGAGGGGCTCGGCGCGAAAATCCGTTGAAATATAGCTTGCTACAGCACTGGTTGGGTCAGCGCGTGCGCACTAAACCCCATTGGTGTGAATGCACAGATGACCACTCGAAGATCACCAGTTACTGGTAAGCAACCTGTTTTTCTCTTTACCATATGTGGTGGACATGTGAAAAAGCAAAAGTTTTCTGGGCCGAGGTCCATTCAGAGATTGAAAAAATCATGAAATGCAAAATTAAGAAGGAACCGGAAGTGTTTCTTCTGGGACTTAGAATGGAAGAAGTTAATATTGCAAAACGGACTTTAATGTGGTATATGATTACAACTGCCAGAATGACATACGCTCAATGTTGGAAACAAGAAAAAACTCCTGATATTTGGGAGTGATTAAAAAAGTTACTTTTTATGGTTGAAATGGACAAAATGACAAGAAAGCTTAAAAATCAAGAAGCAGAAGACTTTTTTGCAGATTGGAAGGACTTCAAAGACTATATGGAGAAATATTGGGATGTTAAAAACAATTTATTTTGCTTAGACAATTATTAAGATGGAGGGTTATTTAGATTAAGTTTAAACATATATAGATCTAGAGATAAAGAGATATGTTACCTGCAATAAATATATAATATTAAAGAATAGGGAAAGGGGGTGAGCTGAGAGAATTGGAAGTTTGAGCACTGTGGGAAGTCAGAAGGGGGTATATGGAAGAAAAAAGGATATGAGATAACTTGTTAGATTAATTATAAGTTTACTTATTGTGATATCCTAATAAAGAGTTTTTTAAAAAAAGAGCAGGCAGGCAGGGGTTCCTTGGCAAACCTTTATTTGTTTAGAAAATTTATATACCACCTCTCCAGAGACCTGCTGAAGGCAGTTTACAACTAATGGAAACCATTAATGTTAGCACAGAAATGATTGCCTCAAGGTAGAATGTTTGGAAAATAAGCTGTATTTTTCTTCAATGGTCACAGACTTCATTGGCCTCCCTGGTGGCAGAAGCTAAATCAAAATCAACTGAATATAATCTGTGTAACAACAGCAGCTCCATAAAATCTCTTAGAACTCTGAGAGCCTTGAGACCACTTCGAGCATTATCCAGATTTAAAGGGATTAAGGTAATACTGCTTTCACCATCCTTTCTCATATGAATAAGCAAAAAAAAAAAAACTGAATTAGATTTTAAAAAAATTTAGTTGACCTTTGGCCAGGTAGCATTAAAGCAAGGAAGTTGTAAATTTTGTCCTCCAGAAATTAGGGTATTTTTAAGTCAGCCGTTCCACCCCCTCTGCCTCACCATGACCAGTGACAGGAGACAACATCAAGGGAAGGCCCTGGCCCTGTTGTTGGCCCTACATAGTAACTAGCTTATCACTGTGTGAGATGGGATGTTGGACTTGATGGACCACTGTTCTGATCCAGCAGGGCTCTTCTTATGTTCTTATCTGGTGAGGCTTCAATTAATCCACTTTTTTACTTCAGCTTCTATATTTCTATTTAGGGGTGTGTGCTCGGTATAAACCAAGCTGAAAAATACCCCCAAATACCTTAGCTGTATTTTTTGGGTATTTTTTTCAGCCAGTTACCAAGTGGGCTACTGATTCAGCTATCCAAAAATGGCTGACCTGAAAACATTCGGAATTTTTCAGAACCACCAGATAGCCACAGTTAAAGGGCATTTAAAGGATTCTCAGTCCTTTTAAATGCCTTCAGAATGAACTGTCATGTTGAAGAAGGCCTTTCAAGGGACTGTGATCCCTTTAAATGCCTTTTCCCCCTTCATTGGAAACAATGGAGGATTTACCCGAACTCGAAGAATATAGTTTTTTTTTCACACCCCTTTTTAAATTCTTTTTCTTTTCTCATCTCTGGTATTTGTCATCACCAGTGTTCCCTCTAAGCTGAGTTAGTGTGAGCTAGCTCACAGTTTTTTAGCCTCCAGCTCACACATTTTTGTCTTAGCTCAGGGAGGATGGCTCCAGAGGACACTAATTTATGCAGTAGCCAAATTGCTTGCTCACAACTTTAATGCCAGCAGCTCACAAGACTCCACAGCTTAGAGGGAGCATTGGTCATCACTATCAGCAGCAGCATGCAAGGCCCTGAACAGACACATTTAACGTTATTCCTGCTTAGAGTGTAATAGCTGGAATATGTGCCACGGCCACTGTTATCAGCGGGATACTAATAAGGCCTTCCCATGGTATGAGCAGTGAGGAATAGTGGCATGGTATAGCCCAATCTCACCAGATATCAGAAGCTAAGCAGTGTTGGTACTTGAAAGGGAGACCACCAAGGAAGACTTTGTAGAGGAAGGCAATGGCAAGCCACCTCTGCTTCTCACTTGCTATGAAAGCTGCTGGCTGGAGTTGCCAATAAGTCGGCTGGGACTTGATGGCACATGGTATGAGTGATTCCAGGTCATAACACTTGCAAATGCTCTCCATGTGAGTTGTTCCATCACCTTGAGATTGGCCTGCCCCACCACCATTACACCCATTTCATGGGATGAGTTACATAATGAGTACTTGCAGTTGTTATAGCTGGGATGAGAATGTTTTTGTAGCATCCCCATGGGACCTGTAACATGTTTTGCTATATAAAGTGATGGGGGAGAACAGATAGGAATAAAGGAACACTGAGAATAGGCCATCAAATAGAACTGGAAAAAGACAAACTGCTGGAAAAAGGTATCATGTACAGTACTCCAGAAATGTTGTGTGGAAGAAGTAGACTTTGAGGAAGTACGCAAAAGAGGATTTTAACCACATCCCAAACATAAAAAGAAGCCCTTTGCCTCTATGCCCTGTTGTTGGCCCCCCAGAGGAACTGGTTGGCCTCTGTGTGAGACAGGATGCTGGATTAGATGGACCACTGGTCTGATCCAGCAGGGCTCTTATGTTCTTATCAGGGGAAGGCCTCGGCCTCTCTGCCCTGTTGTTGGCCCCCCAGTTGGCTAGTTTGGTGTAGTGAGCCAGTTTGGTGTAGTGGTTAAGTGCGTGGACTCTAATCTGGGAGAACCGGATTTGATTCCCCATTCTTCCACTTGTACCTGTTGGATGACCTTGGGCAAGCCATAGTTCTGGCACAGCTGTTCTTGAAAAAGAGCAGTCTCTGTCAGAGCTCTCTCAGCCCCACCTACCTCACTGGCTGTCTGTTGTGGGGAGGGGAAGGAGTTTGTAAGCCGCTCTGAGACTCCTTTGGGTAGTGAAGGGCGGGGTATAAATCCAATCTATTATCTTCTTCTTCTGTGTGAGACAGGATGATGGACTAGATGAACCACTGGTCTCATCCAGCAGGGCTGGATGTTCTTATGAGCCCTGCTGTGAACAGCATCCTGTTTCCAGACGTAGCCACCCTCCTGCCTTTGGGAAACTTGCAAACAGGGTATGAAGGCAATCCCTCCCCATTTATTCCCCCCCACACACATTTGTATTCAGAAAGAGACTTTTTACGGATATGATTACTAGCTGTAATAGAGCTGTCCTATATACTGAGTTGCTGATTGTGTCTTTCATTTACTTTTAAGGTTGTGGTGAATGCCCTCGTAGGTGCCATTCCTTCCATTGGGAATGTACTGCTTGTCTGCGTCGTTCTCTGGCTCCCATTCAACATCCTTGGAGTCGGCTTATTTGGAGGAAAATCTGAGCATGACAAAGCTGGTTCAGTCTGTGGAATCAGAAACTACACACGGGTCAATAGCACCGTCAACTTTAATAATGCTGGTCCAGTCTGTGGAATCAGAAGCTACACACGGGTCAATAGCACCGTCAACTTTAATAATGTTGGGAATGGATATCTGGCTCTTCTTCAGGTGGTATGTTGAATCATACAAATGTCATTCAGCAGGGAAAAATCATGGGAAGACATATATGTTCAGCCAAGAATGGCTGTTCTCTTTGATAGCAGGAGTATTTTGCTAAACCATTATGTATTTAGAATTTAGACTGAGAGTCCTTGTTTATAAACCCTTACTTTTAAGTCTTTCTGGTGAATTGTAAGGGAATAATGTTAAATGACAGTCAGTCAAATTCAGCTTGATTTCTTTAAGTCATCTAAATTCAACAGCATCTATTATTACAAACCCTGAACAAATGTAATTAGATTGCAAATTTAACTTTGTTTAAAATAAGCTTGATTTAGAAGAAACTTGTCTGAGTTCTAGTTGAAATACCAGATATTTCATGCTATGTTCTAGGGATGTGCAAAAAAAAAAAAAAATCAGCCCATTCGGATTCAGTTGAATTGGGCAGAATCAATTTCGGCTGGCAGTAAGACTCCCGCATGTCAGTTTCGTCAGTACCAGCCTTTGGCCAGCTGAATGTCAATTTCAGCCCCATTATATCCTATGGGCCATTGAAGTCAATGGTGAAAACATAGGGTATATTCTGCGGGCTGGAGGGGAGGGGGCTTGAGAGAGAGACTCCAAATTTGTAGGGTAGTTGCTGGAGCCTCTCTATGGTGGGGAAAAAGAACAATGGAGGGGAATGGGGGCAACCTGTTTGGGGGCCCATAGAATTGGACCCCCTGGTCCAATGTTCTTCAAACTTGGTTGGTATCTTGAGGAGAGGCTCCAGCAGCTACCCTGCTAGTTTGGAGCCTCTCCTTCAAACCCCCTCCCCTCATAGATATTAACAGCACATCAGCCTCCAGGCATCCTCTCCCACTAGTTCAGCAACAAAGAAAGTGACACAGATTAAAAAAAAATCCCAAGATCAGAGGTGTCAAACGTATGGCCCGCAGGCCAGATCAGCCCCATCCAGGGCTCTTACCCAGCCCACAAGCAACCTCCTTCTCCTCCTCCCTGCTGGTGCTCTGCTCCACAACCGCTGTGCTCCCAGGTCTTTTCCTCCCTGATCTCAGCTCCTCTGCTTTCTTTTCATCTGGTCACACCCCTCTCCCTCTTCCCCACTGCTGGCTGCCTTCCCAGCTCAACTTCCCAGCTTCGATCCGAAGCATGGCCAGCTGATTGGGCAAAGGCTAGGGAGGGAGGAGCCCGAGGGCAGGGAAGCAGGGGACGGCCCAGCCAATCCCCATGAGGAGGAGCATGGCAGCATGCGGGATCCTGAGTGCCAAAGGAAGGGAGCACGTGCCCAGGCCTTCGATACTCTTTGCCCTGCTTCTCTCAGGGAAGGTCTTCAGATGCTGGGAGCCACCACTTTTGAGGGCGCCCCCACTGCAGTAATGTCTGTTGGTCTCTGCATGGGGAGGCAACCCATATCCCAGGTGGCTGCCAGCTCAGGTCTGCCACTGCCACCACGCGCTCACACCCCTTTGGAGCTTTCCACTCCAGCCTGTTTGGGTGTGCTTTCTCGCTTTGCTCTCTCCTCATTTGGCTTCAGGCTGAGGGGGGGGGGGGATTGCGGTCGCCAGCGGGTAAGAGAAACAGGGCTGCTGTGCCAGCTGGGGGGGGGGGAGAGGATTCCATGCTTTGCCTCGTCCCCGATCCTTGGCTATTATTGCCGCTCATGCTAGTGGGGACAAGGGAAAGGGTTGCCCAACTGCAAGGCCTGTGAAAGGAAGTGCAGGTCTCCCTACTCCCCAAACCACCACTCTGGACAATGACAGCCATGAAGGAGTGGCAGCAAGTGCAGCCAAACGCTGTTGGCAGGGGAAACCAAGCTCAACAGGAAGACCAGGTGGCAGTTGGCAACAACTACACCAGCCTCTTTGAGGGCTCTCTTTTGGGGCTTTGCGTCTTTGCTTGTCCCCCTTGCCCACCAGTTCCCACCCAGTTTGAATCGGCATGGCTGTGGGGAGCAGTCTCCCGTGCAGCCTCCCAAGTTGGACTAAATCTGTGGGGGGAAGGGGGAGAAGGGAAAGTTCCATTTTGCTGAGCAGCCTAAAGGATGCTGCCAAGCACCCAATCAGTCACGGTGTGCAGAGGTGCTGCTGCCTCCTTCCCAAGAGGAGACTTCAAGATTGGGCTAAGGCTTTTTGCTTAGAGCCATTTGTCTTGCATTGGGAAGGGATAGCTCTAGTGGTGGGGAAAACAAGACGGAGAGCTAAAAGGGGGGATGAACATTCCTTAGGAGAGGATCCCATAATGATAGCCTCTCCCCCTACTCACCCCCAACCCATTTCCTTCTCCTCCTCCTCCACACTTCTGAGCCCAGTCAGGCACAGAGATTTTTTTTTGGGGGGGGTGGTCTAATGCAAGGGAGTCCACTCTTCAAAGTAGCCATTTCCTCCAGGGTGATACTCTATATTCTTGGGGCTTGGAGTGGGAGGGTTTCTGGAGTTCTGGCCCCATTGGTGGACCTCCTGAGGGAACCTGGGCTTTGGCCACTGTGTGACATGGACTGGATGGGCCATTGGCCTGATCCAACATGGCTTCTCTTATGTTCTAACCCAGTGTGCTGCAACAGTGAAAAAAGGCAAGCTCTTCAGTTAGGGTTGATTAGGAAAGGGATTGAGAATGAAACAGCTGATATTGTAATGTCCCTCTATAGATCTGCGGGGCAGCTTTATTTGGAATATTGTGTAGACTCAGAGGAACTGATTGGCCACTGTGTGAGACAGGATGCTGGACTAGCCAGTTTGGTGTAGTGGTTAAGTGTGCGGACTCTAATCTGGGAGAACCGGGTTTGATTCCCCACTCCTCCACTTGCACCTGCTGATGTGACCTTGGGTCAGTCACAAGCTCTGGCACAGCTGTCCTTGAAAAAGAACAGTTCCTGCCAGAGCTCTCTCAGCCCCACCCACCTCACAGGGTGTCTGTTGTGGGGAGGGGAAGGGAAAGGAGTTTGTAAGCCGCTCTGAGACTCCAAGTGAAGGGCGGGGTATAAATCCAATCTCTTCTTCTTCTTCTTCCTCTTAAGTGGACCACTGGTCTGATCCAGCAGGACTCTGCTTATGCACTTATGTTTAAACGGGGGTCATTTCGTAGAAAAAGAGGTGCAGGAGCTCATTAGCATAACTCATTAGCATAACTTATTTCCATATGCCACACTCCTTGGCATCAGATGGAAGGGAAGGCGGTTTAAACCCCCTCCCCTTCCATGGCTCACCCACGTGTTCCGCAGCTCTGGGGCGCCTGGGCGAGCCGGCACCTTAGATGGAACGGGAGGCAGTTTAAACCCCCTCTCCTTCCATGGCTCGCCCATGCGTCCCGCGGCTGCAGGGCGCCTGGGCAAACTGGCACTTTAGGTGGAAGGGGAGACAGTTTAAATCCCCTACCCTTCCATGGCTTGCCGTGCGTCCCGCGGATCTGGGGTGCCCAGATGAGCTGGCACTTTAGATGGAAGGTTATTGTTGTTGTTGTTCAGTCGCACAGTCGAGTCCGACTCTTCGCGACCCCATGGACCAGCTCCCGCCAGGCCCTCCTGTCTCCCGCTGTCCTCTGAAGTTGGCTCAATTTCATGTTTGTTGCGTCAATGACACTGTCCAACCATCTCATCCTTTGCCGTCCCTGTCTTCTTTGACCTTCAATCTTTCCCAGCATCAGGGTCTTCTCCAGTGAGTGCTCCCTTCTCATTTGGTGGCCAAAGTATTTGAGCTTCATATTCATTATCTGGCCTTCCAGGGAACAGTCAGGGTTGATTTCTTTTAGGATTGACTGATTTGATCTTCTTGCAGTCCAAGGGACTCTCAAGAGTCTTCTCCAGCACCATAGTTCAAAAGAATCTATTCTTCGGCGCTCGGCCTTCCTTATAGTCCAACTCTCGCAGCCATACATGACTACTGGGAATACCATTGCTTTGACCATACGGACTTTTGTTGGCAGGGTGATGTCTCTACTTTTTATCATGCTGTTTAGGTTCGCCATTGCTTTCCTCCCAAGGAGCAGGCGTCTTTTAATTTCATGGCTGCTGTCACAGTCTGCGGTGATCTGGGATCCCAGGAACGTGAAGTCTGTCGCCACTTCCACGACTTCCCCTTCTATTTGCCAAGGAGTGATGGGGCCGGATGCCATGATCTTAGTTTTTTTGATGTTGAGCTTCAAGCCCACTTTTGCGCTCTCCTCTTTTACCCTGAGCAAGAGGCTCTTTAGGTCCTCTTCACTTTCTGCCATTAGAGTGGTATCGTCTGCATATCTGAGGTTGTTGATCTTTTCCCCAGCAATCTTAATTCCCGCTTGTGATTCATCCAGGCCAGCATTTCGCATGATGTACTCTGCATATATATTAAATAAGCAAGGCGACAATATACATCCTTGTCGTACTCCTTTTCCTATGCTGAACCAATCAGTTGTTCCATATCCGGTTCTAACTGTCGCTTCTTGGCCCTTATACAGGTTTCTCAAGAGACATGTGAGGTGGTCTGGTACTCCCATCTCTTTAAGGACCTGCCATAGTTTGTTGTGATCCACACAGTCAAAAGCTTTAGCATAGTCAATGAAGCAGAAGTAGATGTTTTTCTGGTACTCTCTTGCTTTCTCCATAATCCAGCGAATGTTGGCAATTTGATCTCTAGTTCCTCTACCTCTTCGAAACCCAGCTTGTACTTCTGGCAGTTCTCTATCCATGTACTGTTGAAGCCTAGCTTGTAGGATCTTGAGCATGACCTTGCTAGCATGTGATATGAGTGCAATTGTGCGATAGTTCGAACATTCCTTGGCATTGCCCTTCTTTGGGATTGGAATGTATACTGACCTTTTCCAATCCTGTGGCCACTGTTGCGTTTTCCAAATTTGCTGGCAAATTGAGTGCAGCACTTTAACAGCATCATCTTCTAAGACTTTGAATAGCTCAGCTGGAAGGAGAGACAGTTTAAATCCCCTACCCTTCCATGGCTTGCCTGTGTGTTCCGCAGCTGCGGGGTGCCCAGGTAAGCCGGCACCTTAGATGGAAGGGGAGGTGGTTTAAACCCCCTCCCCATTCATGGCTCGCCTGCGCGTCCTGTGGCTCCGTGGTGCATGGGCAAGCCGGCACCTTAGGCGCGCAGGCAAGCCAGCACCTTAGATGGGAGGTGGTTTAAACCCCCTTCCCTTCCATGGCTCGCCCATGCGTCCCAAGGCTGTGGGGCACCTGGGTGAGCCGGCACTTTAGATGGAAGGGGAGGCAGTTTAAACCCCCCCCCCCACGTTCATGGCTCGCCCATGCATCCCACGGCTGCGTGGTGCACGGGCGAGCTGGTACCTCAGGTGCGCAGGCAAGCCAGCACCTTAGATGGGAGGCGGTTTAATCCCCCTCCCCGTCCATGGCTCACTTGCACGTCCTGTGGCTGCAGGGTGCTGGGACAAGCCTGCACCTTAGATGTGCTGCTGGGAGCAGGGGGCAGGGCTTGGTCTTGTGCCCTCCCCCTGGGCTCCTCACTCCTGGAGTGCCGCTCCTGTGTGCTCCGGCTCCAGCCGACCCCCGTGTTTAAAGCATGTTTGTATTTTGAATAAAAAAAATAGTATCGCTAAAATGTGAAGAAAAGATGTATGTCTGTAAGCTCATAGTAAACATGAACCAGGGAGATGCAGCCATTTATGACTATCTGGCCCATGTCTACCTGAGCATTTGGAGACATGCCTCTCCTGTTCGCACTCTCTCATCAGAGGAAACCCTGGTGTACATGGGCAGGGTTATTTTTTATTGTTAATGTTCATTTAGATGCTTTCCACACAACAGCGCTGATATATAGTCTCCTCATTGTTGATGCCACTCTTGAGAAAACTCTGTGGCAAAGGGGATTCCCATGGAGTGTTATGCATCGCTCCCCCCCATCCCATGTGTTTCCTCTCCCCTTACACACAGTCCTGGACTGATGCTGCTTTATCATTTAAATTCTTTAATACGTATGTGCAGTAGGCCTGGAAGAGGGCCCCTCTCCCTCCCTCATCCTAGCCCCCCAATGGAGGACTCACTTGGCTCATTGGTGGCCACTGTGCAACTTGCCTGGCAGCAGCCAGTGTATGACTTGCCTCGTCCATGCCTAAAGCTGGCTACTGCATGGCTTGCCCTCTCTGCGATTTCTCTCTCTTTGGCCTTGATTCTGTGTATATTACTGAGAAGTCCCATTGAGTTCAATGAACTTACTCTGCGGTAAGCCTGCATGCATTCACAAAAGTAATTCTTTGGTCTAAATGCAGGCACATGCTCTTTTCAGCCCACTGTAATTGCATAGGGCCTCAGGTCTCTTGCTCTCTCACCCCCTCCTCCTTATTCTAGAGAGTGACTGCTGTGCCAAGCAGAATTTTGCCACGGGAAAGAAGGGAGGATAAAGTCTTCTGCTTCTGGAAAACCTTTGCCTTAGTGACTAACCTGCTCAGTTACATTCAGGGGGGGGGGGAGCTCATGGACTATATGCCTTTGTACTCCTCCAAAAGAGTCTCACTCAGGGAAGGATAGGAGCTGCCTTTACACATCTGAAAAAGAGGATGATGGAGCCGTCATCCACTCCACACACTGGGGGAAAATAAAACGGCCCCCACACTGCTGGAAAAGCCCCTTCATGCTCTTACGTAAACGGGCCTAAGAACAGCCTTGTTGGATTAGACCAGTGATCCATCTAGTCCAGCATTCCGCTTCACAGAGCATCCAACCAGTTGTCCTGAAGGGCCAAACAAACAGGGCACAGAGGCCAAAGCTTTCTTCTGATGCTGCCTTCAAACTTTGGGATTCAGAGGTCTGCTACCTCAATATATGGAGGTTCCCTTTACTCACCATGACTATTAGCCATTGATGAATCTATTTTTCATTAATCTATCTAACCCACTTTTAGAAGCCATTTACATCACCTATATCCGTCCATCCCTGATGCATATTCCTGACCATTAATACATTTATTTTAATACCCAGAAGTCAAGCTGAAAACATCACTACTTTGACAATCTCTGGTGACCCACTTTTTTGGGTAAAACTAAGGGAAGAGCCTTAGATGTTTAAAATGTGTATTTTCTGTTTGGGCTGGTGCTTCTGCTTTGTACATCAAAAAGGAGCAACCAGGTGAAGTAAATCAGAATCTCTGCCCTGTACCTCCTTGGATTCCATCACTTCAGCTCTTTTCTTCCAGTCTGGCTCTGAAATTGAAACTGAGCCAGGTTGGGGAGAAATATATTTGAAATAAGGGAGTATGGGGAGATAAGGCACAGGAGGAGGAAAGGGTTCAGGCCCATTCATCTGCATTCACCTTTTATTATAAAAATTAGATCCCCCCTGCCTTTATCTGTGAAAATGAGCCATCACATGAATCAACCAACGCAGCTTGAGCAAGAGAAGCAAATCAGATTCCGATAGAAGTGCAGAATGTTTCCTCCCTTGAGGAAAAGGTGGTGAGAGTGAACAAACTTGGTGAGAAATGGGAAGAACCGTTTCTCCTCTTCTCTTTTACAGACAAACTAGGGAAAAATCACTTATGGGACATTTTAATAACTTGGTTTGTTAATATTTTTCCAGGCAACGTTTAAAGGTTGGACAGATATTATGTATGAGACCGTAGATAAACCTCCGGTAAGCCATTACATTATTGTTATTTCTCTGCTGGTGGAGGAGGGATGCTATTTTAGGTTGATCATTGTGGCTTCTGTGCAGTCCCACATGGGGACTGCACAGTCACAGGCCAGCCACAGAAAAGATTTCCAAGCTTTCTAATGGACTAAGAGTGCCCCTCCTCCTTCTGGCACTTTCCCACCAAAATGCTGACATGACCAGGAGGGGCGCTACTCCCTCGGTTCTCTTTTGCCACTTTGGCGAGATCTCCACTGCTGTTCTCTGTGTTTTTCCTCACCTCAGTTTTGAGGCTGAGGAGACTTTTTTCTGTTAACATTCTAGTAAACAATAAAATACATCTAAAGAAGAAATGTTTTCTGGGTTTCCACTGTGTCATTATAACTAAAAAGGGTGCTGACAAATTACTATTCTCTGTACTTTGGCTGCCTAGGGGTTCACACAGCAGAGCTGCCTGCTCTTGCTGTCACCAGTTTCCCCTGAAGGCATGTATAGATAGAGCTGGACTCAAAAGAGCCCTGTTCAAAGGCTTCCCCTCTCCCTGGTGAGGTTTGGTGTAAAAAGAGCCTGGCCTGAATGGCCCTCTTCGGAGGCTTCGCCTGTGTGCCAGCAGCCTGGATGAAAGCATATTCCCCCCTCCCTGATGAGGTGTGGTGGAAAAAGAGCCTGGCCTCAATAGCATAAGTAGTCTGTTGTCTCAGGACATGGATAACAACAAGAAGGGGGAAACTCCACCCACTTCAGCCACTCTTCAAAACTATAGAAGTTGAAGAGGTCCAAACAGCCCTGACGAAGGGGCACAATACCCTTCTGACACATAATACCTTCCACAAAGGGGCACAGAGAATTGCAAGGCTGTGGGAACCCATGCTTCCACAGATTCCACCGTGAAACTGAGGACAGCCAGGGAAAGGTTCCTTCAGTCAGGCACAGCACAGGTTTAAAACAAGCCTTCATCAGGCCACACTTCCAGGCTTCTGGTCAGAACTGACAGAAAGGCAGAGCGGGGGAAAGATTCCTTCAGACAGGCAGCCTCTGCCAGGCCATGCCTCCAAGCTGCTTCACTGGAAGCGATGGGAGGGGCCAGAGAATCCTTCAAGCAGGCAGCCTCTTCCAGGCCACACCTCCCAGCCTCTTTTTTCTCTCTCTCAGCACCAAGAGAAGGGGGGGGGGAAGGGCTTCAAAGTCAACATTGAAAGCATAGAGGCCATAGACTCCTTAGGAAATGACTAAGCAATAATGCTTTGATGTTGATTCTGCTTGGCTGTCAAGGGGGTTGTGACTTCAAGGTGCACAGCCAAAGCTCATGAAAACAGGCAGTTATTCTGAGGCTCTGTCTACCACACCTCACCAGGGAGAGGGAAATATGCCTTCATCCAGGCTGCTGGCACACAGGCGAACCTCCGAAGAGGGCCATTGAGTCCAGGCTCATTATTGTTATTTCTCTGCCGGTGGAGGAGGGATGCTAATTTAGATTACTCTTCCCACTTGCTCCATAGGCAGGACTATGCTAATTGGCTAGCAGGGGGATGACATCCAAATTCCTGTGTTTCTACCCTACAATTAGGTTTCTTTCTGGATATTCTAGAACTTTCTTATCTCCCCCCCCCAAAAAAAAAAATTTCTGATATAATTTCTCTCATTTCTTGATCACTCATTTCCTCTCCTCTTGGCCTCCTGGCTATTCCTCAAAGAAACAAACAAACCCTTAGAGTGACTAGAGTCAGGAAAGCTGAAATCTTGATCATGTCCTTCAAAGCCCCCTGCCCATTGCATTCCATTGCCCAGGAATAGCTTCCAGGGACTTTAGAGGCATACCTCATGGGAGAGGCTATAGAGCCCAGCACCTCATGGGTCACCAACAGATAGCCAAAAGAAAAGCTGCTCCCATGCCCTGCCCAGCCGTCTCATTTGCCAAAGAGAAAGCTGCTTCCAGGCAAAAATGGGGGGAAACTGATATCCTACTCTGGCCACCAGTACCACTTTAGCCTTGCAAAGGGGTTCTACTAATGAGACAATTTGGAAAGCATTCACACTGTGGGGCCACTTCAAGCGTTTGACATCAAACGTGTTGAGGAACAAGGATGCATTGGAATGTCTCCAGTCTGGTCTGGACCAAGGCCTTTGACCAAAGAGGTCCTGACATCAGATCTCAGGTCTCTCATCGAGTCTCATATCCAAAAGATCAAAATGGCTGTCTGCAAAATGTTTCTTACGTGGAGTGTCTCAGTCACAAAGCCCTGTGGCTTATCTTCACTGTGTGAGAAAGACTAGAACTTCTCTCACCATCTGTTATGTTTTTCAGCCACCCCTTATTTATGATACCAGGCCTCCCCTTCTGTAATTTTCTGTGTAAAATGAGGGGACATTTTTTTTCTTGCCATTGCATTTAAGGAAATAAACTCTGACTTACGAAGGCTTATGCTGGAATAAAAGTTGTTAGTTTTTAACATGCTACTAGACTTCTGTCTTGCTTCTCTGGAGACAGGGCTTTTTTTCTGAAGTGGAAATTTGCCTTTGGAATGCCCTGACCCTTGAGGTTTGCCTGGCATCTGTTTTGCTGTCCTTTAGGTGTGAGGCCAAAACATTTATTTTGGTCCAGGCTTTTAACTGAAGGGGTTCTATCTTTTAAAGCTGCTTTTATGGTTTGCTTCCAGCCCAAGGACTGTTTAATGGATATGATTTAGGCCAGGGGTCCCCAACCTTTCTGAGCCTGTTGGCACCTTCAGAATTCTGACACAGCATGGTGGGCGCAGCCACAAAATGGCTGCCATAAAATGGCGAGCATGTGAGGCAGAGCCAGCCACAACATGGTGGCTGCAGTGTACTTTCAACCACACAGTGAAGACCCTTGTGCTGTGGTGACAGCTGCTGCCAAAACAACATTTTAACAAATGTGCAAATCTACACAGCCAATCAAATCATAGAATCATAGAATTGGAAGGGGCCAGACAGACCATCTAGTCCAACCCCCTGCTCAATGCAGGATTAGCCTAGAGCATCCCTGACAAGAGTTTGTCCAGCCGCTGCTTGAAGACTGCCAGGAAGGGAAAGCTCACCACCTCCCTAGGCAGCTGATTTCATGGTTGCACAACTCTCACTGTAAAAAGTTTCTCTTAATACCCAACCAGTACCTTCCCGTCCTTAATTTAAACCCATTATTGCAAGTCCTCTCCTCTGCTGCCAACAGGAACAGCTCCCTGCCGTCCTCTAAGTGACAGCCTTCCAGCCTTTCAAATACTTCAAGAGAGCAATCATGTCCCTCCTCAACCTCCTCTTCTCCAGACTTAACATTCCAAAGTCCCTCAGCCTCATAGGACCCTCAGGATCATAGGGCTTGGTCTCCAGGCCCCCAATCATCATTGTCACTCTCCTCTGCACCCGCTCAATTCTGTCCACATCCTTTTCTAAGTGAGGCCTCCAGAACTGCACATAGTACTCCAGGTGCGGCCTGACAAATGCAGTGTACAGTGGGACTATGACATCTTGCAATGTGGATGTTATGCCTCTGTTGATACACCCTAAGATCGCATTAGCCTTTTTTGTTGCTGCGTCACACTGGCTGCTCATATTCAATTTACAGTCCACCCTCATCCCAAGATCTAGTTCACACACTCTGCTACCCAGAAGTGTATCCCCCATCCAGTATGCGTCTTCCTCATTTTTGTTATCCAGATTTAGAACTCAGCACTTATCCTTGTTAAATTGCATATTGTTCACATCCATCCACTTTTCCAGTGTGTTCAGATCTCATTGAATTCTATATCTTCTGGTGTGTTTGCTGCTCCTCCCAATTTGGTGTCATCTGTTATGGGTTTTTTGACATAAGAAAACACACATACACAAGTACCCCTCCACCCACCAACCTCATCCAAAAACTTGATATTTCCCTACCACCATAATACTTAAATTCTAACTACATTTCATACTTCTGACTACCGATGAATTCATCCACTATTCTCTCCTAATCTGTATTTATTATCCAACCATCTATTTCATCACATGTAATTTATTTTTTATTCCTGTTGGAATTTCAATATCTATATTTCATTTCTAGTTATACTTTAACTTTCCTACTTTCTCATTTATTCTCAAATTTTACTCAATCAATCACAAGCACTAGGATCTCCAAATGTTATCTACTAGAACCAAATATTGATTTGCTTTTATACCAAACTTATAGCTTTGTCTCCAAAAGTACGATTCTGGACACAGAAAAGAGAATTATATTGTTATTTAGCCTCACAATAAAAGTTAATTAGCTCCTCTGATCTATGATGAGGCCGGTATGAACTAATAGACTATCAAAGGCATCCCCTATGGCAATAAGCTGTTTCTTTCCTGCTTAAATCTACTCTTAAAGCCCCGGTCAGAAAACTCACTCAACTAAGAATTTCTAAACATATTTCACTATAAAGAACATCTTTCTACCGCTTCCCATATCCATATTTCTTAAACTTATACTACAAAACATCAAACATCAATTTAAACAATATAGCATAGCTTCAAAGGAAGACATCCTAGAACAGTCTTTCTGTCCTTATTTTCCCATAAGGCATCACCTTCTGCTAAGAATCTTCGTCTTGTCTCTTCTTTTCTATTTTGATTTTATTTGTTTTCCATTATATGTCTTTGATCTTTGTACTCATTGTCTTTTCCCTGTGTCCTTATGTTCCAATTCAAAGGTTTAAAGTTAAGGTCCTTCAGTTTCTTTGAGCCCTTTTTTGGTTTTTTCCTTCTCTTTCTCCACTTCCTGTCTTTCTTACTCAGCGTGTTTAACAAATCTACGTTTCTGTCCATTCTTATTTTTCCGCTTTCTCTGTCTCCCATCCTTTTTGAGGCATCCATCTCATGTGTATCTTTCTCTTTAAAACCGCATTGGGTGCCTTGATGCTTCCACTCCTGCTTGGTTTGATACAATTCATTCAGCTCCTGTGTCTCTTTAATTTGTACTATCACACTCTCTTCCTTATCAGACAAGCATTGTTGATTCTTCAAAATAT